GTGGGGGTGGGGTGGGGGTGACATTTTAATGTTGAAAGATCATCGTATACCGACTCCCATTTTCTTAGTCAACGATTGTTTGATATAAACAACACGCCACCTGAAAAAGGACACATACGGGACAAAAAAAAAAAGAAAGTCTTTAGATCTCTGATGGTACAAATAGAAATGCTCCTATTCATTTGTCCTATAATTTAAAAATAGAACTAGCCAAGTTCTAAGGTCTCAGATGGCACAGTTGTCAAGTTCATTAGGTCCCATACTGTTAAAATAGAAGCAGTCAAATTCTGAAATTTCAGATTGAGATATTAACAAAGCACGACAGAAAGAGGTTCCCATTAGCAAACACAAAGAAAAATTTGGCTGCACTTACCCAAAGACACAAAACTATCGCTGAACACGTAAGAGATGTTGAATCCTTTCCGCGGGAACTTGAAGTCTGCATTGGCCTCCATGGGCGGAGCTTTGAAGGACAGTCTCCCTTCCCCAGTGGAGAAATGGAGGAGAAGTGCCTCCCCCGTGGAATAGATGACTGTCGTTTGGTTGTAAGTGCCGCAAAATGTGCCGATCACCCGCGCTGTGTTGGTGTAGCCGTCAAAAATACGTAAGTAGTCGAAGGGGCAGCTGTAGAGAAAATGGAAAAGAAAAAAAGGCAAATTGAACAAGAGTATCAAACCTAGAGGCGATCAAATTTATGTACGACTTGACTTTCTGGCGTGTCTAAAAACTGACGATCTGAATTCAAACTGGCGTTAGAATATAATACTGAAAGGGTTCTTATTTTTTTAGGATACTTCAAAACGGATTTGAGACTACAGTGGCCATTTAAATCTTTCCAAGAAACTGACCACGTTCCCTGCCAAATTATGTTTATCGTAACTTTTTTAATGTGAGGAGAACAGGCAGACAAGAAGTCGAAGGCAGAGAAATGATTTAGATATCTAGTTCTTTCGAGGCGTCGAGTTCTTTGGGTTGATTTTTTTTACCTGAGACAAGACACTTCTTCAAAGTATTTGACATGTAATTCATTTTTCCTCCCTTATCAAGAAGGGATTAGCAAGTAACACATTGCATTGTTTGTATCAGCTTCTAGGTTATCGTAAGCATTTATAGCAAAAGACAAATAACTAAGTCTGTGTCTTACCACAAAACATTTCATCAAGTTAAATACTGGACGTCTATCAAATCAACAAAACACATTTCTACAGAATAGGCTTGGAAGAAAGCAAAACAATTACTTATGTTATTTTAGTAAATGACCATTTTTCTTAATTCTCAAAACTAATGAACTATTTCTTATTTTAAAAAAAAATAGAATTTAAATAAAAATGATTTTAAAAAGAACAACAACATGACGTATGTTATAAAACATAGTGAGTAAATTTTTCATTCCTTCGCACACTCCTGAACTTGGATACATATGTACAGAAAATACTGCTGTCTGGTCATTACAAAGTTGTTCATTGATAAGAAGACGTAAACCCTGCATGCAAAAATTCAAATCTTTGAAAGAGTCAATGAAATGATGCATGAACGCTTAACATGTAGAACAAGGAATACACCCAGTCACCCTTTTCATAGCCAATGCTTAGCTACTTTACCACTTTATAGCTGGTAGACTAATATTTCCTAGATATGAAGCAAAACTACCAAGTATACTGTAATTTCTAATATTAAAGAGAACATCGATATAACAGGCCTACATCTGTGCGCTCTAAGTATTCATTAAAGCAAAGCAATTTGATGCTGAACTGCAGCTATCCTAATAAATGTTTTAAAAGCCATAAATAAAATGATCAGCCCACCAGCTTTACAACAACCAAGGATCATTACTTTTAGTAACACAAATAAATTCTGGGTTAAAACTGGATGCCAGACGCATAACGTTAATTCCAAACCCCTCACCACAAAAAACAAACAAACAAACAAAAAAACAAAACCAGAATAACAACTTAACAAGCACCAAAGTATAAAATGATACATTACTTTTGCAAATCCAAAGCTACTATCCTCATGGATAGTTTTTCCCTTTAATTAGTCAGGGTGCAAACACACACACACACACACACACACACACACACACACACACACACACACACAC